CAGAGAGGGTAGGGGTTAAGAGGTGGAGGTTGGAGGGGTCAGGTGCTGGAGGGGAGGAGGTTGCATTGGCATTTGATAACTTGGGAGTTCTTGATTTTGTACTTCCCTGTGGTGTCAGGGACGCACTCGTGGGTATGCTGTCTATAGACCATGTGCTCACAGGACGGGCCAGATCTGCACCCACAGCGAGTTTACAGTCAGTGAAGCTGAGGAGAGCTGGGGGCAATGTCAGCCTTCCTGCTGGCCTCACCCTGGCACAGCCCCTTCACGGGCAGGGGAGGAGCAGGTGCTTAGAGCTAGCTTGTAACCAGCTGGGGATTCCCCTCTATCCAGGCATTCCTCACTGCCCCAGAGCTGCCTTCCAGCTGCTGCTGGGGTCACACAAACACCTGGAGCAGGGCCGAGAGACTGGCCTAGCTATGAAAAACTCCCTGACAGAATCACGTTGAGATGGAGTACACGGTAGGACAAGCAATGGGGTTAATCTGCAGCAAGGGAGAGTTAGAAAGATTTCCCTAATATCAAACCTACCTACAAGGCTAGTCAAGCTCTGGAACAGGCTTCCAAGGGAGGTTGTGGAAGCCCATCATTGGAGAACAGGCTGGACAAACACCTGTCAGGGGTGGTCTGGGTTTACTTGGTCCCACCTCAGCGCAGGGGGCTGGACTAGAAGACTTGAGGTTCCTTCCAGCCCGACATTACTACGACTCTAATTAAAATAATTACATTACAGGGATGTTGTAATTATCCTAAAACCAAGTGCTCTGATCCCCGGAAATCTGCAGAGAAGGTTAAACTTAAAACACATCCAAATATGTGGCGGTAAGAAGTGCGTCCGAACAACCTTCACTTTGGCCTGTGGTGGTTTATGGTCATTTTTTGCCACTGTGCTGTTGAAGGTAGAGAGTTGCGCTAGGAGGTGAATGAATGCAAGCAGTGGCCATCTTTGCTAAGGCAGCCTCACTTTGATGCTAGCCATTTTGAAAGAGGGAAGATCTTTGTGGAATTCTCACCTTATCCGTGAGCCTTTGCTGAAGAAGAAACTTTCAGTTTTGAAGAATAATAGCAAAAGAGACCAAGAATCCTAAAAATAATACTATAAATATAGTCCATGCACAAGATTTCACTGAGTTTGAATAGTCTGCGTTATTCTGTTACTAAGACCATTAAGGACAAAAATAGGTTTGACAGACTTTCTTAACGGAGTCATTTAAAATTCATTTTTAACGGATTATCTAATTACAGCTTTCATAGCTTTGTAGATTCCAAGGCCAGAAGGGACCATTGTGATCATCTGCTCTGACCGCCTGTATAGCGCAGCCCAGAGAACTTCCCAAAATAACTCCTAGAGCAGATCTGTTAGAAAAACATCCCATCTTGCTTTAAAACTTGCTAGTGATGGAGAATCCGCCATGACCCTTGGTAAATTGTTCTAATAGTTAATTACTCTCACTGTCAAAAATGTCCACCTTGTTTCCACTCTGAATTGGTCTAGCTTCAACTTCCAGCCTTTGGATCATGTTATCCCTTCCTCTGCTAGACTGAAGAGCCCATTAGTAAATATTTGGTCCTCAAGCAGAGTTGCACCTTGCAAGGGAATTAAAACCAATAATAAACAGCTCTAGTGCCATATAAGTAAGAAGAAAACAAGGAAACAATAAGTGGGACCTCGGGATGAGGATGGGGTGGAGATTAAAGATTATCTAGGCATGGCCCAACACCTAAACATATACTTTGCCTGGGTTTTAAATAAGGGTAAAGAGGTGCTTAGGGATAGTGGCAGGGTGGCTAATGGAAATGAGGATATGGAGGTAGAAATGTCCATGGTGGAATCTGTGGAGTGCCACAGCTCCACTCCTGGCCCCAGCCCTGCACCCGGGGCTCCAGGAGGAACGCAGACAAGGGTAAGGAGGGACACAAGGTAAAAAGTTTGGGGACCACTGTCTTCATGGGACTAAATCAGGGGGCCCAGATAATCTCCATCCAAGAATATTAAAGGAACTGGCACATGAAATTGCAAGACTAATAGCAAGGATTTTTAATGAATCTGTAAACTTGGGTGTCTTACCCTATGATTAGAGAATTGCTATTATAGTTCCTATTTTTAAGAAAGGAAAAAAAGTGATTCGGGAAACTACAGGCCTGTTCGTTTGACCTCAATCGTATGCAAGCTCTTGGAACAAATTTTGAAAGAGAAAGTAGTTAAGGACAGAGGTGAACGGTAATTGGGATAAAATACAACATGGGTTTACAAAAGGTAGATCATGCCAGACCGACCTGATCTTCTTTGAGGAGAAACTGATTTTTTAGACAAAGGAAATGCAGTAGATCTAGTCTACTTGGATGTCAGTAAGACATCTGATATAGTTCCATATGGAGAAGATGGGGATTCATGAGAGAATTGAATGGTAGATAAGGAACTGGTTAAAGGGGAGACTACAACCTGTCATACTGAAAGGTGACCTGTCAGGCTAGAGGGAGGTTACTAGCAGAGTTCATCAGGGATCAGTCTTGGGACCAATCTTATTTAACACTTTTATTACTGACCTTAGCACAAAAAGTGGGAGTGTACTAATAAAATTTGTGGATGACGCAAAGTTGGGAGGTATTGCCAAGATGGAGGAGAACCAGAATATCATACAAGGAGGTCTGGACAACCTTGTAAACAGGAGTAATAGAAATGGGCTGAAATTTAATAGTGCCAAGTGCAAGGTCATGCACTTAGGGACTAACAACAGGAGTTTTTGCTATAAGCTGGGGCTGTATCAGCTGGAAGGCACAGAGCAGGAGAAAGACCTGGGTATATTGGTTGTTCACAGGATGACTATGAGCTGCCAATGTGAAGCAGCCATGAAAAAGGCTAATGTGATCCTAGGAGGCATCAAGCGAGGTATTTCCAGTGGAGAAGGGAAACTTAACAAAAAAGAATTCATCAGGGTCAGAGAGCAAACGAAAATAATTTCAAACCGAACAGTTAAAGTTTGGCAAAAGAATTAGCAACTAAAAATAAAGTATTATGATGGAAAATGTTAGGCAACGTTAAGTTCAGACATCACAACTAGCCCCACCCATAAGAACTTGTATGTGGGGGTCAAACCTCAGCTGGTGGAAATTGGCTTCAATACAGCTGCTCTGATTTATAGCAGCCGAGGATCTGATTCGGTATGTCTCTGGGTGTCTCAGGTGAGCTCCTTGACTCAGCTGACAAAGTGTACTTCTGAGAACTCTACGAGTACAAATAAAACTCACTGGGCTTAGTTTTGGTTGTAGCCATTGTTTGAAAGAGCTGGACCTTGATCAAACTGTGAGATTCAAAGAGTAAATCTGATTCATATCTCTGATGTAGCGTGCTCAGACTTTGAGCTCCTGGTATCAAGGGTCTCTCCTTGCAAGATGCCCCCTGATTTTCAGAAAACCGAGAAGATTGCAGAAGCCCTTGTCTTTCTGAAAAGAGACTGATTTGAGTATATGCCAATAAAGTGAGGAATGTGGACAGCAAAGTATCAAAATGGGGAAGAGAGATGGACACTTAGGAAGTAGTGAGGAATGTTCAGTTAGCAGTTGATAAACAGCAGAGCAGGGAACACTTGGGAAAACGGGATATTTACAAATCAGCAGGTGCAGATGATATACATCCCCATGTTGAAGGAATTTAAAGAACTACTGGCAATCATTTGGGGAAAGTCCTGGAGAACTGGGGGAAATAGAAAAGGACAGGAGAAAAAATGTTGATCTTCCCCAGCACCCAAAAACCATGTGAATCAGTAAATGTAACTAAAATCCCTGGGAAAAGAATATAAATCTGTAAACCTTCACACCAGAGGAAAATGAAAACATGGGCAATAAGCAGCATGTTTATGAAGAGCAACCTGTGTACAATCAATCTCTTTGCTATGTTGGATACAGATATAAAATGGAAGAAGAGAACGCAATTAATATCTGCACTTTGCTAAATGTTGGATACAGCATCTCAGTGCATCGTACAGGAGGAATTCCATGTTTTGTATGCACAACTCAGGAGCAACTTTCAGAGGGCTTAGCCGTTAGTCTGCTCTCAAGGTGATATCTCACCCCATGTATGTATAGAAGGAATGCACATCTGCAGTTCATTCCCTTGCCCATGCTGCCCCCCAGCCCTCCTCCACACACAGCTTGAACGCATCAGCCAAAGGGAACTGTTGCTTATAGCATCAGGTACTTACATTCAGCGCATTCTTAGCAGCTTCTGCTTCTGAGCGACTGTCAAAGCTGACAAACCCTACAGGCTGAGGAGAAAAGAGAAGAGGAGAGGGTCAGGGGATGACTCAGGGAAGGAGCAGCGTCCTCGCCTCACAGATACAGGGACCCTGCTCACTAGCACCCACCAAGGATACTTGGGACCTGTAGTCCCCAACAGTCATCTCCCTGTTTCAGAGCTGAGGGGAGCGGAGAACCACCCTGCAGATCTCCAAGGGCCATATCTGCCCAATGGGCTTCACTTTGGCCACCTCTGCTATAAAATCACAACCTCTGCTGCCTTCCCCACCTTCCTCTGGAAGGTCTAAGTGTGCAGTGCCTGGGATGAGTGTTGGGAGACATGCGGTGGACTGTGTACCCAAAGGCCTAGTCCAGTGTAACTGAAACAGCATTGGCTTCCCCAGTTGGCTTCAACTATGTTCTTAAAGTGGAGCCTTCAGGGACCCTCCATCCTTCATCTAGGTCTAGCTCCACTGTGGACAGCCACAAACCGGACGGGGACTCCTACCTCTTCGGCAAGGACTAGAAGGGCTGTGCTGTGACCGAGCAGGAAAGCTGTGTTCGGGGGCGACCACAGGACTCCTGCTCTCTTCCAGGTGCTTGGGGGAGAAGATGCGTCTGGAGTCTCCGGGTCACTCCTGCATCCTTGCTTCCCTCCATTTTCCCTGCCGGGTAATCCCAGAGGAGCCGTGGCACAGAACTATGAGCTCTGCCCAGAGGAGGCTGCTCCTGGGGCTGGTGCTACGTGTAGGGGGAAAGAGCTGAAGACCAGGCTGAGCGCAAGGTGGCTCTCCCTGTGCAAGGCCAGATGCCAGGCTAAGCGATGCACCCCGCACCGGGCAGCTCTCCCTGTTATCTGTGAGGCTCAACTTGAGCTCTTCTCCAGAAGGCTTGATTCCCCCTAGGAATGGTACTGCCCTGATCCGCTCGCCCCAGCTGGCCTGCACGCCTTCCATGACAGGGTAAAGACGCGGCAATGAAACACTGCGGCGTGCTGGAGGACGGGGCTGCTGGCCATGCCGCTCCCGAGCGTTTTAGGTTTGATTCACGGTTCTGCTTGTCCACGGAAAGCGCAGACTCAACAGCATCTTCACGGCGAGCTCACAGGTCTGGGGCCGTAACAGTGTGCTGCCTTCGCAGTACATACCCCATTGGGGGCACTTCATTACCTTGCTGCTCATTCCTAAATCACCCGCCCCCCTCCCCCCCAAAGAAATACAGGCGTCTGCTCCTTGCCTTGAGCACAGCCAGCGGCTAGGCCGCAGGGAGGGTGGGGGCAAGGGAACATCCTGAACCTGGGTGTGCGGCGAGGCCGCTAGCTGTACTCATTTGCTGTTTCTAATCAGTTTACAGCTAATGTCGGATACTGAGGTTCTGAGCACTGATTAGGCCTTTACCTGTTTAGAGGTGAGTTTTATAAGAGAGCCTTCATAACCCTGCAAGAAAAGAGAAAAAGCGTTGTTTAGTCAAGGCACTCACCAGGTCATGGCGAACAGTCAGTGCTTAAAGCTAAGAGGGCAAAAAGCGTAGGGTTCGGCGTTGTTTTTCACTGTTTTACAGGGCACGCTGGCCCTTTAAGGCAAGCTACAGGCCTAGCAGAATGCCACTAGCCGTGCCAGCCTAGACCAGAGCCATATGGAACCACAGGCCACAGCAAGGCCTGCTGGGAAAGGAAGTTATACAGAGGCAGCTTTCTGTACCCTCAGCCAGGGAGAGGCCAGGGGAGTGGGCAGAGAAAGCCTGGGAATGGAATAAGCTATGGAGGCTGGGAGAGGCGCTCTGGATCTCACCATAGGTGGCTGGCAGGAGGCCTAGGAGGGCAGTTTCTGGTGCTGTTTCTGCAGAACCCCGAGGAAGGGTCCTTGGGGTGGGGCAGAGAAGTGGGCATGCTTTGGGGATGGATCAGACCGCTAATAATCCTTCCCAGGGTCAGAGCTCCCAGGATGGGGAGGGTGTGAGCTCCCCAACAGCTATAAGGGACACAGCACAGAGAACACCCCTTTGCTGGGCATAGAAACAGGGGTCAGGCACTAGCCCATGCTACAGCCCTTGGTGTTGCCAAAGCTGTGCAAAGGGGCTGTACAGCTCCCCAAAGAGAGGATTCCCCTGGGTCTGCTTCACTCCCCCACAGCCTAGGGGATGTGTTGGAGGCTGCCCAAAGGAGTGGGTTGTGACAGAACCTACCCCTGTGTTCACACCCAACACACGATTGTAATCATCTTTGTACAAAGTACGCCTTGTGAGGTATCATCTGAAAACTCATCATTTCCTCGTCAATATTGTCCTGGTAAAATGTGTAGCAACATTATATGTGAAGTTATAAGATTCCACTGTACGGTGTAAACGCATGTTCCAAACTGAGGCTGGAAAATAGGTCTGTCTCAAATAAAGGGATGAGTGCTGTGCTTAATTTGCATTTAAGCAGTAAACAGGGTCATCAAGCAGGAAAGGGAGACAAAGGAAGCTTAAACCGGTGAGAAAAAAGCAGCAGGGAACATCCTTCCATATAGACCTTTTGTCTCCTGGTACCCAGCTGGAAATGTTTTCCAAAAGGGGGACTGAAAATATAAAAAGAAGGGGCAAAGCCCCTGCCCTCCCCCCGCCCAGCCCATCACATTCAAGGCACTTGAAGCAACAAGACTAAGGAAGCATTCGTTGGATTTTGGGGAGAGGGTTTCCTGGCCTAAGAAGTTTGGTCAGTAAGATTGCCGAAAGCATGTAGTGAGAAAACGTTGTTTTGAATTGAACACAGTTTGTTAAGTTAGGCCAGGTCCACACTACAGACCTGCTGACATAGCCACTGCCTCTCGGAGAGGGGGGATTAACTATGCTGACAGCATCGGGGCAGTGGCATCTTCCCTAAAGTGCTACAGTGGCGAGCTGCACCAGTGCAACGGTAGCATTGTGTGCGAAGACAATGCCTAAGGGCTTATCTTGATTTTTCTTGTAACCATTTCTGACTTTTATGCCTCATTACTTGCACTCAGTTAAAATCTCTCTTTGTAATTAATAAACTAATTTTACTGTTTTATCTAATCCAACGTGTTTAAATTGAAGTGTTTGGGAAACTCCATTTAGGGTGACAAGTTGTATGCAAATTATTTCTACCAAAGAGATAACGGACTTGATATAAACTTGTACTGTCCAGGAGAGGGCTGGGCTGTACAGGACATACACTTCTGGGGGAAATCTAAGACTGGGAGTGCGTTGGGGTCACCCTGCAGTATAATCAAGGCTGGTAAGAGCCAAGGCATGGCTGGCTGGGCCCCAGCACACACACAGACATAGCTGGGAGTGATTGACATGCTGGAAGCTGTTTGTGAGCAGGCCAGGATGGAGGCTACAGCGGCAAATTGTAAAGGACACACCAGGTCACAGAGCAGAGGTGACACAGCCAGTGGCAGATTAGCCACTGGGCCAACGGGGTCCGTGCCCAGGATCCCCGGCCAATTGGGGGGCCCCGGAAAAATGGGCACCTCTATGCCCCGACCCGCTCCATCCACTCGGCACTCCTGTTGGGGAGCAGGGTCGGGGCACAGGGGCTTGTCCCACTCCACCCGGCACTCCTGCCGGGGAGCAGGGTCGGGGCACAGGGGCTTGTCCTGCTCTACGTGGCACTCCTTCCAGGGAGCGGGGTCGGGGCGCAGGTGCTTGCCCAGCTCACCCATGGCAGAAGCGCCAGGCGGGTGGAGCAGGGCAAGTCCCCACACCCCAACCCCATTCCCCGGCACAAGCACTGGGCAGGCGGAGCAGGGAAAGCCCCCACGTCCCGACCCCATTTCCCCAGCAGGAGCGTGAGAAGGGGGAGGGACTGCAGACGGAAGGAGTGGGGAGGGGCCCCCCACTTGCTCTGGCCCGGGGCCCCACAAAAGCATAATCCACCTCTGGACACAGCTACGCATTAGTCTGGATTGTCCCCTTGTATGTCACAGGGGTGTTGCTTTAAATTATTGCAGGGGCTGAAGTGGCGTATAGCCACCTTTGTCCGCCACCTCAGGGCCCGTGCCAAGCCATAAGAGCCTAAGCTATGGGATTCAGGGCTTACAACTGTTCTAGCTGCAAAAGCTGGAGCCACCTTCCTGTCCCCAATTATTCCTTATAACTGGAAATGCGCATTTTGTGTGGTTCTAATTTAAGACCGAAGTGACGTAAGAAACGCTAGAACGCTTGTTAGGATTATCCCAGCATCTGGAATTCCACAGTAGTCCATAGTATTGCTGTGTGGACATTTGAAGTGTGAGCCTCATGTGAATAATAGGGTCCCGTATTTTAAAAGAGACAATATCCCAGATTCAGTTCTTGCGGGATTAAGAGACTCTGTGGGTCTGGAGGGGATTAAAGGTTAAAGGTGACATGGTCATGCGGCTAAATGTAAATCAATGCAGCATTTGGACCTTCCATGTAATCAGGCAGACTGAAATAGCTTCTCAATCTTCTGCCAGGAAAAAAATATTGCGACATCTTCTGTTATCATGTCTATGGGCAATGAATGAAATGATCAATGAAGCAGCCTTTCTTGGGGAAACTGATGATGCAACAGGCAAAACATGACCTGATCAATTCTGCAGCACTGCTGAGCGACTGCTAGCTTTCACTGTGCCCCCTATACAGAACTCAGCTCTTCGGGGAGTGACTCATACTTCATCATTTATTTACATTTCACCACTTTCTTTTCCCAGATTCCCAAGTGATTTGATTGTAAGCGCTCATTATATGCAATGGTTCACCAGATAGATTCTGGTGAGATTCCCAAGAGCCCCTAAATGAGTTAGGAGCACAAGTTCCATTACAAGTCAATGGGTCTTGTGCTTGCAGCACTCTTAGGTGCTTTTGAAAATCCAACTCGGTGTGAATAAGTTTTAGCCTGTCACCTCCCCTACAGTGTGTCTGTTCCCTGAGCAGAGGAGTGCAGCTGTTAGAATCAGGGATCCAGTGAAAATACTCAGGATTACAAAGCCAAAAGAGGCTTTCTGCAAATAGTGTGCAATATTCACGGACAATTTGCTATTCCTGCGAACATTCCTGCCAATAAACATGGTTGCTGGCATAGCTGTGAAAGGGGAGCACAAAAGGAGGGCAAACACAGGGTACGTCTATACTATCCGCTGGATTGGCAGGTAGCGTTCGATGTATCGGGGATCGATTTATCGCGTCTCGTCTAGACGCGATAAATCAATCCCCGAATCGACGCCCGTACTCCACCTCGGCAGGAGGAGTAAGCGGAGTCGACGGGGGAGCCATGGCAGTCGACTCGCCGCCATGAGGACGGCCAGGTAAGTCAAACTAAGATACTTCGACTTCAGCTACGCAAATAGCGTAGCTGAAGTTGCATATCTTAGTTCGAACACACACACACACACCCCCGTGTAGCCCAGGCCACAGCTGAAGCTCATTTGTTTAAAAATTCAGTTCAACATTTGCAACCATTGTTTTGCAGTATTCCTCCAGCTCAGCAAAGCATATGGGTTCTGATGGGGCTACTGGGTTCCACAGTCTGGCAAAGTATTTTAAATTATTAACATTGTTATTAATTAGGGGCATTACAATAGCATCTAGGAGCCCTACTCCTGGACCAAGACCCCATTGTGCTAGGTGCTGCACAAATACATTCATGGACTTTCCTCAGCTTCGCAGTGACACTTCAGCCGTTTTGTCTAAAACCAGACGCAAATCTGAATATTGAGTTTAAAATGTCAGTAAACCACGACGAGAGAGGGGTGTTTTTAACACTGTATTGGCTATATCCTAGTTTAATCAATCGCAAACAGGAAACACTCTAACTCAGAATTTGGGATTCAAGAGAAACTCTCTTTGTCCATGGGCTCCAATATACAATGTGTGTCCTCCGCATTACTTCGAGGAATTTAAGACTCCAGGAGTCTCCCACTTAACAAAATTCCCTCAGGCAGTGGAAAGTGGATGAAAGGCAATTTAAACAGGGATTCATTGGTTATACCATCAGTACAGGAAATGCTGTAGGTAACACACACACAATTAGTGTGCATAAAAAGATAGAGGGTCTGTCACAAATCTTTGCAGAGGCCCCCTTTAGGAGCTGAGTGGTAACCTTCATCCACATTCGTGGGGGTAATATTGTACCCCACAAACATACATTTTGTGATAACTCATGAACTAGTGACCCTCCACCTATGCTGATTTAGGACGTTGTCACCTAGGCACATGTACACAATTCAGCAATTTTTTAAAAAATTTAACATGAAAAACATTTTTTCTGTATCAAAAAAATGTATGTGGGGTACAAAGGTACCCCAAATGTGTTGCACTGTTATTCTCTATTTTTAATAGTTCTATGTACACATTTGCATCTAGTGAGAGTATCTTAAATTGTAATGGCAGTGACAATGGTTGCTGTATGCAGTCATCCTAATATGGAAGGTACTCCAGGGAGGTTGGTCCCTTCAAATCCGGGCTTGTC